TGCAACTGTTTTGGAATTATCTTCAGTATGATTTTATTTGCATGTGATATTAATGATATTATTCTATAATTTCCACATTTTGTGTGATCACTTTTCTTTGGAATGGGTACAAATATGGATTTCTTCCAGTCACTTGCCCAGGTAGCTGTCTTCCAAATCTCTTGGCATAACTGACTGAATGCCTCCAGCAGGGCATCTGTATATTGAAACATCTCAATGGGTATTCCATCAATTTCTGGAGACTTGTTGAATAGATGTTAGATTTTGTTAAATGCTTTTTCTTCAACATTTGATATGATCATATGATTTTTCTTGTTTAGTTTGTTGTTATTGTGCTTGGCAACAATTCATTTTTTAATGTTGAAACAGCTTGTATACCTGGAATAACTCCAGCTTGGCCATTGCATTTGTCCTCTAGTGCCACTATAACAGACATACCACAAATGTATGGCTTTAACGAATGGATTTAGTCTCTTACAGTTTAGGAAGATAGAAGTTCAAGTTCAAAGTGTCAGCTCTAGGGGTTAGGTGAAGACCCCTTGACCTTGAGCTTCAGCTCTGCCTCTTGATCCCACCCACTGAAGCTGGAGGCATCTCTTAACTCAGGCAGCTATTGGCTGCTGAAGCTGACAAACACAAGGTCAACAAACAAAATGCCACCATCCCAAGGTTATTAAGCAACAAGGCAGACCACTAGTTCAAGTCCAGAAACAGTTCCAAGATTGGCAGACAACATGGCAGGCTACTGAATGAAGACTTGGCTACATGAAAAGTCCAACTGTGTCAAAAAGCTCTCAAGACCTTTCTCAAAATTTTTCCTTATATATTGGAAATAGACTACATCCCTAAGACAGCTACTCAGTTGCTCACAGCAGATTCTACCCTGGAGTTGATTACCAGTCTTTATCATTGGGAATAACTATATCTTGCTGCCCAGCCACTCAAAACCAGGTCCAGTGAAGTTGATATATAACTTTAGCTTCCACAATCATGGTATACAATTAGTTTTATACATTAAAAAAAATTATTGTGATTTGGGTAAAAGTTTACAGAGCAAATTCATTTTCCATATGGTAGCTCACTTACATTTTGTCTCATGGCATTGACTGCAATTTCCAACAATACATCAGCTCTCTTCCCACCTCCTCCCAATAGTTACCTATTTCCTGTGTCCTTCCCCTCCCATACACTCCTGCCTCCCAAGCTGTCTCCGTGTGTATGCAAAGCCTTTCTATTCTACCGTGATTGTTCTCTCCAAGGAGAGCTCATATGCCTGTCTTTTGTTTGGCTGTAAGCCACAGGAATGGGTTTAATTCCAGACCTGAAGGGCAGCTAGGGGCCATAATCTCAGGTATTCCACCAGGCTCTATCAGACCAGCAAACCTGGTCCTTTTTCTTTCTTTCTTATTTATTTATTATGATTTTGAGTTTTGTTCCACATTTTTCTCCCACTCTGTCCAGGATCTCCTATATAGATCCCCCTCCAAGTGGTTGACAGTGGTAGCTGGGCACTATCTAGTTCTGGTCTCATAGTCATATAGGCTGAGGACTTTATGGTTTAGCAGTCCCTTGGACTAATTGTTTCTATGCATCTTTGGTTTTCTTCATTCTTCTTTGCTCTGGACAAGGAGAAACTCATCATTACATCTAGATAGCTGCTTGCAAGCTTTTCAGATCCCAGTCACCATTCACCGAAGTAGGATGTGAAACAATGTTTTGTGTGGTAGGTTATGCCAATTGAGCTTGATGTCTCCTGTGACGTTGGTCCCGAGCCCACAGGTCCAACTACTCACTCCCTCCAGTAGCTGGCTGTGGCCAAGAAATGACTATATATAACCCTTGATTATTTTCAGCTCTACTATATACCTGGAAATTCTTACAAAGCACACAAATACACTTGTAGAAACATTATTTGCCAACCCTATACATGGTCATGGTCACACTCCCCCTGCATAGACATACCTAATCTTTCAGTCTGTCCACCCATCTATCCACCTGTAGTTTTATACATTTTTAGATTAAATTTGCTAATATTTTGTTGACATTTTGGCATTTAAATTCATAAGAGATATTGGTTATCATTTCTTATAATTTCATTATCTTCTTTTGGTATCAAGGTAATACTGACATGATAGAATGAATAAAGAAGTGTTCCCTTGGGTTTTATATTTTAAGTGATTGTTTTTAAAGTGCTGAAGAGCAAAGAAGCCTCCTTGAAGACTAAGATGCTCCTAACCCAAGCCATGGTATTTTCAATAGCATCATCTGCTTGTGAGAGGTGGACAATGGACAAGGAAGACTGAAGATAAGTAGATGCTTTTGAGTGGTGGTGTTGGCAAAGAATGGTGAACATACCATGGGCTGCCAAAAGAACAAATATATCTGTCCTGAAAGAAGTGCAGCAGGAATGCTCCTTGGAAGCGAGAATGGTCAGACATCATTTCACTTTGTGTTGTCAGAAGGGTCCATTCTCTGGAGAAGGATGTCATGCTTAATAAAGTGGAGGGTCAGTAAAGGAGGGGAAGGTCCTCAACAAGATGGATTGACATGGTGGCTGCAGTGATGGGCTCAGGTATAGAAAGGATTGTGAGGCTGGCACAGGACCAGGCAGTGTTTCGTTCTATTGTGTATAAAGTCACTATGAGTCAGAGCCAACTCGACAGACTCTAAAACAACAATGGAGAATTGCTATCATTTCTTCCATCAGCATTTTGTAAAATTCACCAGTGAAAACATCTTGGCCTGGTACTTTCTTTTTTGGTTGATTATTCTTTTTTGGATGATTGATTCAATTCCTTTGAGAGATAGAGATAGATACATCTAAGAGATAGATATGTTGTTGTTGTTGTTGTGTGCCGTTGAGTCTGCCCCGACTCATAGCAACCCCTCTTTGGGTTGCCAAGGCAGTGTCACTATGGAAGTAGATTGTCCAACCTTCCTTCCGAGGAGTGGCTGGTAGGTTTGAACCACCAGCCTTCTGGTTAGCAGTCATATAGGCCTATTCAATTACTTTTTTCTTGTGTGAGTTTTGGTAGTTTTTGTCTTTCAAGAAATTGATTCTTTCATCTAAGTTATCAAATTTATACTATAGAATTTTTCATAGTAGGAGAGAAAATGGAGTCATAGTATGCTCAATTAAAACCAAAGCAAGCAAAGACAATCTTACATATGCATTTGTGCTACAAAATTAGCCACATACATTACAGAAGAAACAGAAGACAGAGTCGGAGTAAATTCTCAGAGACAACCAAACACCTTAAGAGAGAGAATCACCAGGCCTACTGACTCAGGACCATAGTCTCAAGGGACATCAAAATCTTGTTCCACGTCCTACTTTGGTGAGTATCAATTGAGGTTTTAAAAGCTTTTGAGCAGCCATCTAAGATGCAACTATTGGTCTCCTCACATCTGAATCAAAGAAGAGTGAAGAAAATCAAAGGCATCTGGAAACAATTAGTCCAAGGATAAGATGGACCACAAAGACCTCAGCCTTCATGACCCCAAGACCAAAAGAACTAGATGGTGCCCAGCTACTAATGCCAACCATTCAGAAAGGAATAAAAAATGGAGACCCTGGATAGAGTGGGAGGAAAAAAGTGGAACAAAATTCAAAAACACAAAAATGATTAGAATTACTAGTCAGATAGAGCCTGGTGGAACCCATGAGACTATGGCCCTGGCTTACCCTTTGGGCCTAGAAATGAACTCACTACCTGGATTGGCTCTCAGCCCAACAGTATAAAGACCTACTTACAGAACACCTATTCCAGGGCAATGCATCCACCCACTCTAGGAAGATGCACCCTTAGATCAATCAGTTACGAGACATCAGAGGGGCCGCATTCACATAGAAGGAAAGCTGGACAGACAGGAATGCATAGTTAAGCAGGCCACAGGGAGAGGGCAGTCAGGAGGGAAGGAGAGTTTGTTATGGTTGGGGATGGTAATTGGGGCATGAAATCAAATGTGCACAAACTGTTGAATGCAAAATTAATTTGCTTTGTAAATTTGCACCCAAAGCAAAATAAAATTGTGAGAGGGGGAAAAAAAAAAAAAAAGAGTTACAAACCTGCCACTACCATCGAGTAGGATCCAACTCATAGTGACCCCTCCTTGGGTATCCGAGGCAATATCACTATGGAAGTAGATTGCCCAACCTTCCTTCTGAGGAGTGGCTGGTGAGTTTGAACCGCCAGCCTTTTGGTTAGCAGTCAAATGCCTTAGGCAATACACCACCAGAATTCCCAGTTACAAACCTGGTAGACATTAATATAACTATATTAATAATCACTTTGGGACCTCTGGTAGTATAGTTCCTAAGGCACTTGACTGCTAACCAGAAGGCTAGTGGTTCAAATCTACCAGCCACTTCTCAGAAGGAAGGCTGGGCAATCTACTTCCGTAGTGATATCGCCTTGGAAACCCAAGGAGGGGTTGCTCTGAGTCGGGTCCAATTCGACGGCACATAACAACAGCAACAACAACAATCACTTTAACTGGGTTTGTGACTTATTTACTTATTTATTTTTTGCATCTCAATAGTCTAAATAAAAATAGAGATCCTCAGAGTGCATAAAAACATTTTTTTCCCCTTGAACTGTGCTCAAATCAGCTAATATTTTCAGGAAAAAAAGTGTTAGCAGATTTTCATTGTTTTCTTCAAGTACTTTTGTGTCACTAGGGCCCCTCTCATAGTGGGTTTTTATCTTCTAAGAACCTTGGGACTGGCCAAATTCCACTCTGTTTTTCTTAGGATTTGATTTAGCTGTTAGCCTTTCACCCTGCGCAATTTTGTAATTTAGCAAATGCCTTGAGGGGAATAGTAGACATGTCTGAAACATCACAAGCTTCCTATTTCATCATTTGAGTCACTCAAGCCCTTCAGGATTCCAGAAATCTTTGTTGGTTTATCTTTTCACTAATTTCCAATACTTAATCTTATGAGATATGAGTGAAATAAATCTGACAGTGTAGGCTTCTTTGGGTCAGAATGAATAATCATGCTGCCCACTGATGTGGTCACAGCTTTCATTACTTACAGTAAACATGGTGATGGTGATAAATGGGGTAGAATTTACCAAGAACCAAGCTCTCCCAAAAGGATTCCATAAAAGGACAAGAAAATTTTGGGTTATTCCCATGCATACCCCATGATACATTGTGCATGAGAACAAATGGTGACTTGGGCCTGGAGTTTTTACAACACAATCTAGAGAGGTGCAGGAGCTGGACTTCAAGAGAAGGACAAAGCAGGGTAAAAAGGAAGTGTTTTTTTTTTTTTTTTTTCCTGTTATCTGGCGTGGTTACTCTGTTACTAGAGGAACATCTTTAGTTCAAGTGCACATATCCAGAAAGAATATCACTCCCCCTCTAGCTACAAAAAGATTAATTTTGTAAACTTGCATTTTCTGATTAATGATACAATATCAAGAGGTGAGATCCCCATGGGGAAAGTTATTTGATGTTATCATAATCATGAAGATGGTGGAGTTGATCATGTTCCATATAGTGTTCACGCATGAGCACGAGACTGCATTATCGACTGCTCATAACAGGAAAATGACATCTCTGGATGTCATTGGAGAGAGACTCAATTCCTAGCTTCCTTATCAGAAAATATTTTGAGCTTAAGGCATCAGTTTATGTGATCTAGATGGCAATTCTGGAGACAGATTGTCCTCCCAACAAACTCAAGCTGAGAATTGTCATATAACCCCAGACATGGCTGCAGACGCTCAGCTCAGCTCTGAAGATTCCCACATTTCTGAAATTTTATTCCCTCTGGCTCTCCTTGGTTTTCCAATTCTGTGATGCCTTTAAATAAACGATTATGTAATTAATCCAGCTTTTTCTATCTGTTAGTGGAACTGAGCTTCAAATTTTTCTATATAGAAAGGGAATTATTGAATGCTTTCATTTTAATATGTGTTCAATTTTGTATTTATCATGTAACAATTTGAATAATGAATATATGAATACACACTCTTAAAAGACAAATTTTGACTTTCATTTTAAATTCTTATCAGAGGATAACTTAATCAGATGCCCTTTTTCATTGCCATATGGTATCAAGAAAAATAGTCAATAGTTTTTTCTCAACTAAGAAATTGTGACCTTCTAAAATAAGTAAGTCGTTCACTTTATATTGAAGACATCACCAATCTTACTTCACTATCCCAGAGATTCAAGGATATCAATGCTTTTGAAGGAGATCTCAGGATAATTCTTGGTTCGTGTCTTTTGATTCTTATGTCCTATATTTATCCTTTTTACCATACTCACAATCACCAACCTCTTAGTTTGTGTCAGTTAATGATGTTCTTAATTGTGATCTATTAACTACAGAATTTTTTTTTTAACTAACAATAATCATCTTATGCTGCTTAATTTATGTTTTAGTCATGCATTGAACAATACTTTTTGATTAGCTGGTGTATGCCAGAAACGGTTTTAGAAACTAAATAATCAGTGGCAATGAAGATAGTGAATTAATTTTCTAGTGGGGGAGAAAGGCAAGTAAGTGATAGTTTTTACAGAGAGAGAGAAAACTGATATGATACAGCTAAGTACAGGGTAGTGTAAATTTCTCTTACTTAATGTGGACTTTTTTTTTCCAGATTCTTTTTATAAGATAAAGCACAAAAATAATGAGACAGCTGTATTGGGAAAAAATGTGACTATATTCTGCAATTTGACAACTTCAGAAGATATTGTGCAAATTACCTGGCAGAAGATCCAAGACTCTTTGCCACAAAATATTGGCACTTACAGCAGTAAATACGGGGCAAAGATTCTTCCGCCATACTTAGATCGACTTCACTGTGAGACCATTGAACCCAATTCCTCATTCATCACGATCCGTGAAGTGACATTTGAAGATGAAGCCTGCTACAAATGTTTATTTAATATGTTTCCACATGGCAGCCACGGAGGACAAATCTGCCTTAATATTCTAAGTATATAAGTGTTTTCTGAAGGAGAATATTGTTGGAAGATAAATCATGGGGATGTAGTGTTTTAAGAATGAGGTCCAGAGAAAAAATGTTAATGGTGGAAAGACTAATAGAGGTTATATGGGTCAAGCCTGCATTGTATAGAAGAAAAAATAGAAGTTAAAGATTGCTTTATGACTTACCTATTATCACACAGTGTAGGACCAAGCAAAAAATTAAGGTCTTCTGTCCTCTTTTCTGACTTTTTCGTACTATACCACACTGGACAAAATTCATCCATCCAGTGGACAAAATTCATAGAAATTTAGGATTTTCTCATTGCAGAGTTGGGGAAAGAGGGAAGTAAAAGAGACAGTAAAGAAGAAGAAAGAGGAAAGGTGAAGAATCTAAGAGAATAAGGACTTGCTAGCCTTCAAACTAACAGTATGTAATGCAGATAATGATAATGTAATCATACTTTCTTATTATGTAGCCAAAAATTTCAAGTATTAGAGGTTTAGATGTTGTAATTTTAAGACTGAATAAAAATTGAGATACCAATTCTTTCTCTCAAACTGGAGGGCCTGTTGGTAAATATAGGAGATGGAATTGTGAAGTTCTATAAAATATAAGAAGAGGTATCTGAGAGTGATATATTTTCACCATTTTGGCTTCATAAAAAAAATTTAAGGAAGACCAGTCTTTAACACCATGAAAATCTGTCACGACATATTTTTACATTTAATTTTGTTTCTCTCTTTCTCTCTTTTTATTTTTTCCCCTCAGCTGTATCTGAATTAAGAACTGAACTCCAGTCCAATGCTGATTCTGAAGATTTTCTTAGAGTCATTACCTCAGCTATGGGAAAGCCTGCTCCTCAAATATCTCTTTTTCCCTCCCTACTCCTGATTAATCTAAGCAAGGAATACCGTGCTCAGAACCCAAATGGCACGGTAACCGTCACGAAAATGGTTGACATCTCTTTGGAGACTGTGTGGTCCCTAGGACTCCAACATGTGATTGTGAACATGGATCATCCTCTAAGGCATGAAGAGAAGATTGTTCCTCTTCCAATAAAAAAAGAATGTAAGTAAAAGTGATAAATCAACAAGGAGAAATAATTGTCTTTCTTCAAAATTCATTACCAGAAGTGTTTGTGTAAGATATTAAAAAATATATAAATCAGAATAGTGTGCATACATGGTTAAATGATTCAAATAAATAAGTTCCCTACCCCACTCCTGTTCCCTGGAGCTTTTTTTTTTTTTCCCCCTACATGGCAAAATTTTAATTTATCTTCTTTCCATACTTCCAACTGAATTTCCATCCCAATCAGTGAAGATTAAAGTAATTTACAACAACTTTTCCTCCTCTTCCTTACTCACAATGTAGTTCCCAGTGAGAGATGTGAGAAGACATCTCTCAGTTTTGCTATAGTTCATTTGAAAGAAGTGCATCTGCCCCATAAAGAAATGTATCTCTTCCCAGCCTGCTTTGTATACTTCCTCCTTACCTTTGTTTCTCAGTAGTTTTACTTTGATGGATCCTGGTCTTGTGTTCTTTGCAGTAATTCTGCTTAGAGTTCCCTGAGCTAAGCGTCTTGAATCTGTGGGATAATCAATGTCTTTAATTCCTTTTGGAGAATTCTTGCCTGTCTCCTACTTGAACATTGCTGGTAAATACCTATCCACTGTCCAAAATTCTGCTTTTGCATGTGGAAATGGGTGCTCATGACTGAAACTTTCATTGTGTGACTCATTCCCTCACCACTTTTTTTTGTCCTCAGAATCCTGGGCTTCTCCTGGTTCTGCATTGATCTCTCTGCAGGTGTATTCTGTTCTGGGCATCCATGAGACAGCAGCTTCTTTATCCTGTATTCCATTGGCAATTCCTCTATCCACTTTTCATCTTTGATAAATTTGTTTAAATCTTTTGTCCCCTGAAGGTCACTCTACTGTCTTTTGTTTTGCATTAGTCCTTTTTATTTGTTTCAGTAGATTTTAAACTGAGTCTCAGAAAGGAGTCGAAATAAATATGTTTGTTATCTTTCTCTCTTGAAACTGAAGTCAGTCAGTTCTTTTTTGCTGGCAAGTCTCCACAAGATTGGAACATGCCAACTATTATGGATTGAATTGTGTCTCAAAAAAATATGTTGAATTCCTGGTACTTGTACCTATGAATGTAATCTTGTTTGGAAATAGGGTTTTTCATTTGCTATGTTAATGAAATCATACTGGAGTAGGGTGGATATTAAACCTAATCACTTCTGATTTATAAAAAATACCAGAATAGACCCAGAGACACACATGAGAGAAGGCAGATGTCATGTGAGGATTGATTACAAGCCAAAGAATGCCGAGAAGCCAAGGAAAACCTCAGGCTACAGACAGAAGGGATTAACATGACCAAGACCCTGATTTGGACTTTTACCCTCCAGAATTATGAGAAAATAAATTTCTGTTTGTTAAAGCCACTCACTTGTGGTGTTTGTGTTATAGCAGCCATAGGAAACTAAGACAATAACAGTAGCATATTCATATATGACATCAATCTATCAGTGATACATTGGTTGTTGTTGTTGTTGTTATGTGTCATCCAGTTGTCTCTGACTTATAGCGACCCTATGTACAGCAGAATGAAACACTGCCAAATCTTGTGTCAGCCTCACAATCTCTCTTATACCTGAGCCTATCATTGAAGCCACCATGTCAATTCATCTTGTTGTGGGCCTTCCCCTTCTGCTTTGACCCTCCACTTTACCAAGCATGACATTATTCTCCAGAGAATGGTCCCTTCTGACAACATGACCAAAGTAAGTGAGGCAAAGTCTGGCCATTCTCGCTTCCAAGGAGCATCCCATATGCACTTCTTCCAGGACAGATTTGTTAGTTCTCTTAGCAGTCCACAATACTTTCAGCATTCTTTGCCAATACCACAACTCAAAAGCATCAACTTTTCTTTGGTCTTGCTTATTTATTGTCCAAGTCTCACATGCATATGAGGCAAGTGAAAGAGCCATGGCTTGGGTTAGGTGCATTTTAGACTTCAATGAGATATCTTTGCCCTTCAGCACTTGAAAGAGGTCCTTTCCAACAGATTTGTTCAATGCAATACGTCTTTTGATGTCTTGACTGTTGCTTCCATTGGTGTTGATTGTAGAATCAAGTAATTTGAAGTCTTTGACAATTTCAATCTTTTCTCCATCTGTCATGATGCTGCTTATTGGTCCAATTATGAGGATTTTTGTTTTCTTTATATTGACATGTAATCCATACTGCAGACTGTAGTCTTTAATCTTCATCAATAAGTGCTCCAAGTCATCCTTACTTTCAGCAAGCAAAGTTGTGTTGTCTGTGTATCTCAGGTTGTTGATGAACCTTCCTCCTATCCTGATGCCACATTCATCTTCATATAGTCCAACTTCTCGAATTATTTGCTCAGCATACAGATTGATTAAGTATGAGGACAGGATTCAACCCTGACACACTCCCTTCCTGATTTTAAACCATTCAGTATCCCCTTGTTCTGTTCGAATGACAGCATATGTACAGGTTCCTTGCAAGTACAATTAAGCGTTCAGGAATTCCTGTTCTTCTCAATGTTATCCATAATTTGTTATGATCCACACAATTAAATGTCTTTGCATAGTCAATAAAACACAAGTAAACATCGTTTTGGTATTCTTTGCTTTGAGCCAAGATCCATCGGACATCAGCAACGATATCCCTCCCTCCACATCTCCTTCTGATTCCAACTTGCATTTCTGGAAGCTTTCTGTCAATATACTGCTGCAACCATTTTTGAATTATCTTCAGTAAGAGTTTACTTGCATGTGATATCAATGATATTGTTCGAAAATTTCTGCATTCTGTGGAATCACCTTTCTTTGGAATGGGTACAAATATGGATCCCTTCCAGTTAGTTGGCCAAGTAGCTATCTTCCAAATCTCTTGGCATAGCGAGTGAGTACCTCCAGAGGGGCATCCATTTGTTGAAACATCTCAATGGGTATTCTGAAAATTCCCAAAGCCTTGTTTTCCACCAATTCCTTCAGTACAGCTTTGAATTCTTCCTTTAATTCCATTGGTTCTTGACCATATGCCAACTTCTGAAATGGATGATCATCTACCAATTATTTTTGGTACAGTGACTCTGTGTATTCCTTCCATCTTCTTTTGATGTTTCCTGCATATTTCCAGAGAACCTTTCAATATAGCAATTTGAGGCTTATTTTTTTTCCTCTTTCTTTCAGCTTGAGAAATGCTGAATGTACTCTACACTTTTGGTTTTCTAACTCCAGGTGTTTGCACATTTCATTATAGTAAATGACTTTGTCTTCTTGAGCTGCTCTTTGAAATCTTCTGTTCAGCTCTTTTATCCTGTCAATTCTTCCTTTGCTTAGCTACTCTCTGTTCAAGGGCAAGTTTCCAGGTCTCTTCTGACATCCATTTTGGTCTTTTCTTCCTTTCCTGTCTTTTTAATGACCTTTTGCTTTCTTCATGGATCATGTTCTTGATGTCATCCCACACTTCCTCTGGTTTTTGATCATTGGTGTTCAATGTATCAAATCTATTTTTCAGATGGTCTCTAAATTCAGGAGGGATATAATCAAGGTCATATTTTAGCTCTTGTGGACTTATTTTAATTGTCTCCGGCTTCAACTTGAACTTGCACATGAGCAGTTGATAGTCTGTTCCACAAGTCAGCTACTGGCCTGTTTTGGCTGAAGATTTGAGCTTCTCTATCACCTCTTGCTACAGATATAGCTGATATGATTCCTGTGTAGTCCATCTGGCAAAGTCCATGTGTACAGCCATCATTTGTATTATTGAAAAAAGGTATTCGCAATGAATAAATCATTGGTCTTGCAAAATTCTGTCATACAATCTCCAGCATCATTTCTATCACCAAGGCCCTATTTTCCAACTACTGGTGATTTTTGTCTCCAATTTTGCATTCCAATCACCAGTGATAATTATGTCTTGATCAGATGTTTGCTCAATTTCAGACTGCAGAAATTGGTAAAAATCTTTAATTTCCTCATTTTGGCTTTGGCAGTTGGTGCATAAATTTGAATAATGGCAGTTTTAACTGGTCCTCCTCGTAAGCATATGGGTTGTTGTTGTTGTTAAGTGCCGTCGAGTCGTTTCCGACTCATAGCGACCCCATGCACAGCAGAACAAAACACTGACTGATCCCGCGCCAGCCCCAAAATCCCTGCTATACTTGAGCCCATCATCGCAGCCAAGGTGTCAATCCATCTCGTTGAAGGCCTCCCTCTCTTTCGTCGACCTTCCACCCTACCAAGCATGACATCCTTCTCCAGGGAATGGTCCCTTCTGACAGCATGACCAAAATAGGTGAAACGAAGAATGGCCACATTCTTGCTTCAAAGGAGCATTGGCTGCACTTCCTTCAGGACAGATCTGTTAGTTCTTTTTTCAGTCCATGGTACTTTCAGCATTCTTCACCAGCACCACAACCCAAAAGCATCAACTCTTCTTCGGTCTTCCTTATTCATTGTCCAGCTCTCACATGCATACCAGGCGATTGGAAATATCATGGCTTGTGTCAGG